ATATATATATATATATATATATATATATATATATATATGTATATATATATATATATATATATGTATATATATATATATATATATATATATATATATATATATATATATATATATATATATATATATATATATATATATATATATATATATATATATATATAATATTATAAATATACATAATATTGTTTAAACTTATCTTAAAATTTAAATTTTTTCTAAAGTTTTTGAGTGCGAAAAAAGAAAAAAAAAGTACCAGAGAGTAAAATTGTGCGGCGTTATGGTATCTTTTTTGTATGGTTAAATCAAAGTCAAAAAAAAATGTTTGAAACATTAGACATTTATTATATGTAAGAATTTAAGATCAAGAGCGCAGATTATTTCAATAATTTCAATATTTTGATTATTTTAGGGTATTTATTTTCTGGTGATGGAGGGGGGGGGGGGGGGGAGGATGCATACACCCATCCCCCCTGGATCCGCCACTGATATATATATATATATATATATATATATATATATATATATATATATATATATATATATATATATATATATATATATATATATATATATACATATATATATATATATACATATATATATATATATATATATATATATATATATATATATATATATATATATATATATATATATATATATATATATATATATATATATATATATATATATATATATATATATAATAGCCAATAAATAGCCAATGTCGTTTATTTGGAAAGCACAAAGCCACTATTTGTGTTATCTCTAAAGTTCCTTTGAAAAAGTAACAGTTACCAGTAAAAAATGCTTCGTTCAATGCCTAAAATATAAAAAAAATCTAATAGACTGCCAAAGATAAAATATGTTTGGTACAAAATGTTTGCTAAGTTGTTATTTAAACATGAGTAGCAATTAAATTTTTCTTATTGTATATTAAAATGTTTTTATTTCTTGCCTTATATTTTAATTAATTCAAGACTATTTTGGAGTTTAAATAAATTTAATCTTTTATCTACTAATAATTGACAGTATTAATATTAATTTAAATGTTTACTTTTGATATCAATAAGAAGAAGGCAAAAATAGCAAAGAAACGTTCATTTTTATCAAATGTGAGCTTTTCCACAAAATAGTTATCAAGCTGCCTAAGATTAGGCAAAATATTGAATGTAACTGGCGTACAGCCATCTAGACTAGCGACACCAATAACCCTACAATATTTCACCCATTATTAAATATATTGAGTATTATTAAACAATATTGAACTGTATTAAAAATCTTTTTTTCACGACATAAAATCTTCATAATTTGCGTATTCTAAAAACTTAACATAATTGATGTTTCCGTATACCGAAATATTTTTAATTTGTAATTGAAAACTTTGAAACTGTATTATCAAAAAGTTAAAAAAAGACATGCGCTATTTTGTCTTATACCCATCAATTAATTTTATTAGAATGATAATGTTCAAAAAAAGAAAAAGAATAAATAAACTTTCTAGTAACTCTCATGAATTTCAAGCTTTTACGCAAAGCAAGAAGCTTTTTAGCGAAGTCCTCGGAAATTGACAAAAATATTAATTTATTTTCATGTTTTTTTGAAAACTGTTTAAAAAAATTAGAAGAATTGCATTTCTATTATTTAGATGTGATAAATAAACTCAGTTGTAAAAGAAAATAGTAAGGAGTGAGCCATTAGGGGGAGTAAATTATTGATTTTATAGCTAGAAAACGCCGAGAAAAAACCTAAATTTTTACCGAGTTGTTACTTGCTTGGTGCGGATTTCTGTGTTAGCAATATATTTTATATACTTTTTTTTGGGCAAAACTAAAATTTTTTTACTTTTTGAAAGTTCTTTAGAGAACACGCTGAATATTTTGAGACATCAAGTAGTTATTTAAAAATAAAACAAAGTATTTTTTGTACACAAACCACGTTCTTATTATGCATTTAATGTTTTAATGTAGTCCGAGTAAAAAAAGTTCTATAGAATTTCTATAAAGTTTTGAAACATATGGCCTATAGAAATTATATAGAATTCTATTGAATTTCTATTGAATCTCTTTTTATTTCTATAGAAATTCAAATAGAACATTTTTTTCTATAGAAAAAAAAGTTTTAGAGTAATTTCTATAAAAATTAATAGACATTCTATAGAAATTCTATAGAATTTTCTATCGCCATATATTTCAAAAATTTATAGAATTTCTATAGAACTTTTTTTACCGGGGTTTGAGAAAAAAATCTTGAGAAAAAAAAGCTATTCTTTCATGGACAAAAGAAAACCGCAGCTTCACTTATTTCACTTTGTGAAAATTTCACGTAGTTAGAGTTTTATTTTTTTAATACAATTATATTTTACAACTAAAATGTAACAAGTAACCATTCCAAAATAATAGATTGATAGTACAGATATATAAAAATGAAAAAATATAAGAAGACGATTCGACAACAGCACAACATAAACGTATAAAGCTCTTATAAATGCATCTCTTTTTTATTATAAATAAATTATTTTACTAAATCATATAAGTTTTTGCATTTTGTGATAAGTTTCAATAAGTATTATATCTTTTTTTTAAAAGAGAAAAAAAGTTAGAATGGAATAATTAAACCAGGAAATAAATTTTTATGCTATTCTACTAACTATTTTATACTTTAACTTATTATATTATTGTTTTTTTATTTTCATTTCATTTTATATTTTGCTGTTAAAATAAATTACACATGAGTTTTACATGGTAAATCAATAAATAAAATATTTTAAAAACAGACGATAGCTAAAAGAAGGTATTGATGATGCAATATCACCTCAATCTTTTCATAGAGCCCCTTAATATAATAAAATATTGACAAAAGAGTTATAAAAATCCTTTAAAATATAAAAGTAATATAATTAAAAAATATAATTATAACTAAAGATATAATAAGAAAGAAAATTATTTTTACAATTACAAAGATATTTTGCAATAACTATATTGGAAATTTAGGTATTCGAAGATTTAGAAATAAATAAGGTAGGTGAGGGTATTAAGTCCCACCTAACAGACTTTTGGTGAACTAGGCTTTAAAAATTAAGTTTAAAAAAGTATTTTTGATTGCTACTTAAGATTAATTATTTCTTGATGTAAAAATGATGTCTGCATATTGAGAAATTATTTATAACAAAAGTTATTCATGTTTTTTAACATGCCATAAGTGGGCCTTATTACCCCCCTTAGGTGGTAATACGACCCATGTAAAAAATAAATAGTTTATCTCACATTTATAAAATAATAAGTAATCTTGCATATTTATATACTTCAAAAAAACCAATTTTTTTATAACAGTGAATAACAACAAAAAATAAAAAAGATAAAATAAAAAGAAGGTTAAAAAGAAAATCATTTATCTTTACAGAATAGACATTTTGTAAAGATAATGACTAACTCTTCCTCATCTCCAGAATCATACCCCATGCACACCTCATGGTACCATACTTAACATTTACAACATTTTTGCATACTTTCCACAGACTTTCGCTGGAACAACAAACAAAAGCAATCATTCGCATTTACACTTACAGTGTAAGTGTGGATGTGAATGATTAGTGTTGAAACTAAAGTATCCTTTAGTTTCAACACGTGCATAAATATTACATGTTGAGTAATGATAAATAATAAATACTTAATGCAAATAAATGCACTTGAAAAAAATAGAAGTATTATAAAATATTTAAAAATGTGAAAATACGTACCTTAAAAATGAGACTTGAGCAATTATTGACGAAACCAACGAAGAAATCTTGCTTTGTCGAACGCACGGTAAAGAAAGGCTGATTTTTTTTGCTGCCAGTGATAAAACCAGATAGCTTGCATTTTTGCGAGTTATCTGGTTTTATCACTCGCATTAACTATCAACTACGGTAAAATATAAAATGCGTAAATTTTCCCGTAGTTTGGCTTAATAAGTGGGCCAGGTGGCGGACAAAGCCTAAAAAATAAATCTTTATTATATTCAAAACCATATATGGTTTTGAATATAATAAAGATTTATTTTTTGGGTTTTATTTTTAAATGAATAAAAAAAATTTTAAATGAATATGTTTTAAAATATGCATATTGTAAAACATATTCATTTAAAATTTTGAAAATTGTTTTGAGTATAACAGTATATTTTAAAACCACAAAAGTCAGTTGCGGTTTTATGTATAATGAAATTTTTTTTTAAAAAAAAGCATGAAATTTTTATTTTCTATGCATAGCTATAGTAAACAGTAACTTTTAAAACTTTATGAGCTTTCGTGATTAGTTTCAGTGGCGGATTAAGACTTTTTGGGGCCCGGGGCTAATTTTATTTTTGGAGGCCTTTTTATGGACCAGAGCCTAAAAATGACTTTTAATAAAAAAAAAAAAAAGGTCCTTTAAAATTTTTAGGGGCCCCTAAATTTGCGGGGCCGGGGCTATAGTCTCCCCTAGCCCCCCTTGATCCGCCACTGATTAGTTTATATATTTAAACTATTTAACAGTAATACTTTACGAAAAAAATATAAAGTAAAGATCAGCCTTTATAATACACTTATAATCTGGCTTTAAAATAACGAGGTGAATTTTTAACATTTAAAACATTTATTTTGTACAAAAAGTGTCACATAATTTGAACTAGTAAATGTAATATGTATACAACCTATTTGAACTATATACATTGCTCCTAACTTCCCCTTTTGGGTTTCTTTAACATTTTAAATTAATGATTTGTAGCTTATGTTATTTGCTTGAAATCAACTTATATTTCTCGTAAACAAAAATAAATTATACTTTGTTTGCTATTTTATTCAATGCAAATTGCACTGTTTACCTAACAATTTTATTGATTTAAAAAAAAAAAATCAAAAAAATTGTTAGGTAAAACTTTATAAAATTACAATGTAAAATGTTGATAACTGCAAACAATGATAATACGAAGGAGGTTTACCAAACAGGAGACACCGTAGTATATTTTTACACTAAAGGCGATGG